CTTATGGAAAGTGAAACGTCTTTCTGGCAGCAACAGGAATTCTGTGTTGCACATCTCCAAAGGGTGCCTTACACTTTGTAGTCTCTGCTTGGCGTCCCTCCAGTGGTATAGTACCACACCTGAGTAGCAGGGTTCTTGAACAACATTCTAAATGGAACGTCAATTAATGTCTATTAACATGTAGGCTATTTGTTTCATGGTATCCATTACTACAAATAAATGACAAATTTAAAAAAACTAGCATATAGTAAATAGATATTTAGTTTTTCTCTTGGAACACTGGTCCTGATGGGCATTGGGGCACTCCTGAACCATGTGCTGGGGGCACGCATGGTGCCTGTCTCTGACCTGCCAATGGCCAGCCAGCAGTAGGTGCTCAGCACCCGTGTCCTGCCAAGGCCTGGTTGTCCAGACCTCCCATCTATCAGGAGTGTTGCCAGCACATGAAGGTAGCAGTCCTCCCCATAGTCCATCCTAGGTCACAGAATGGGGGAAATGTTTTCTATTGAGAGGACTGGCCCAAAGGGAGGATAAAAGTAATTGAGGGTCTCATGAGTAAATAACAGAGCCACTTGATGTTTTTTGGAATAATCTGAAACATTTTAATTGTCTACTTTTGAATTTAAGGGAGGGGCGCCTGGGTGGCTCAGTCGGTTAAGTGTCTGCCTTTGGCTCCGGTCATGATCCCAGGATCCTGGGATCGAGTCCTGCATTGGGCTCCCTGCTCAGTGGGGAGCCTGCTTCTCCCTCTGCCTCCACCAGCCGCTCCCCCTGCTTGTGCACTCTCTCTGTCAAATAAATAAAAGCTTTAAAAAAAAAAGAAATTAAGGGAAAAATATATTTTCTGCTGCAGATTATGCCAACTAAAAGAGAAAATACTGGAAAATGGGAGAGAGGAAACAAAAAGGAAGGTGCTAGAGGATAAGGGGGACAAAGTAAAGATGGAAAAAGAACTACAGAAATAAGAGGAGGGGAAGGGAGATACTTACAAATACAGGAAAGAGGCACAGGACAAGAAGGATGGGAGGGAAAAGGGAGAGAAAAAAGAAGAGATACCAGGCTCCACATTGAGTGAATGATTACAGTATTTGTGTGCAGTCGGCATTCATTTGGGCAGTCAACATCCATTCAACTAACACGCACTGAACACCTGTTGTGTGCCTGGGTGTTGGGTAAGATTCAAACTGCATAGGATTACTCCTTGCGATCAAGACATTTATGATTTCAAAGAGGCATAAAACATACATGCAGCTATGTATGCCAAGGATGGCAGCAGGAGGCCTGGCTGTCTGCTCTCTGCCATCCCCTAGTGTCACCACAAGGCCCAGCACTTAGGGAGGGTTCATGACCTGGTTCTTGGATGTGTTAAATGCTAACTTGTGATACAAGTGCTATAAACATAGAGGAGGCAGGGGTTGCTTCTGGCTGAGGAGAGGGTAGACAGGAAAGAGTTCCTCAAGATTGATGCTTGAAGAATAGGTAGGATTTTTATAAGCCAAGTTATAGGGCAAGATGTTTTAATTAATTAGCCAATGAATTAACTAATTAATTAATTAAAGTAGGCTCCACACCCAGCATGGAACCCAATGCATGGCTTGAACTCATGACCATGAGATCAAGACCCAAGATGAAATCAAGAGTTGGATGCTTAACCAACTGAGCCACCCTGGGGCCCCTGGGGCAAGACATTTTAGACAAAGGCCACAATGTGAAGCTGCAGAGCCTATGTAGGTTTAAGAGCCTGGAAAATGCCAGATTATCTGAATGCAGGGTTTGTATTAGGAAGATGATAAAGCTGAGGAAGATTGATGCTAGATTGTCCTGGTCCTTGAAAGTTGCAGGAGGTTTAGTCTTACTTGAGACAAGAAGGAGTGAGCATCAAAGAATTTTAGCAACCAAATATGAAAGATTAGAGTTAATGTTTAAAAAAGACTAATTTGGCAACTGCATTCAGAGATGTTTGACCTGGAGAGCCTGGAGCAGAATTTCTGAAAGCATGAAACGTATGTAACTCCATCTTTGATCTAATTACTTGGAGTGCTTAGTGCCTGGGCCTCACAGACATTATATTCCCCAGGTGTGGGGTGAGGTCCTGGATCTGCATTAAATTAGTTATCCAGTACATGAAATTTTCTGTACACAAAAGCTATCTAAAACCGGCTTAGAAACAAGACCAATGAGGAGGTATATTAGTTATCCATTGCCATGTAACAAATATCCTCAAACTTAGTAGCTTAATACACATTTACACACATTTACTACCTCAATGTTGTAGGTCAAGAATTGGAGAGTGGCTTAATTAGGTGGTTGCATGAATTTGCACTGAAGCCATAAGCCAATGCAGCAGTCATCCAAAGGCTTGACTAGGGCTGGTGGATTCACTTCTAAATTCATTCTGTGGCTGTTGGCTCAGAGTCCTCAGTTCCTCCCCAAAGGTTTGCTCATGACATAGCAGTTGGCTTCCTTCAGAATGAAAGATCCGAGAAAGACACACACACACACACACACACCAACCAATGCAAGCTACAAGATCTTTTTTTTAATTATTATTTTTTTTAATTTCAACCTTTATTTTTATTTTTTTTAAAAGATTTATTTATTTATTTATTTGAGACAGAGAGAATGAGAGAGAGAGAGCACATGAGAGGGGGGAGGGTCAGAGGCAGAAGCAGGCTCCCTGCCGAG